AGACCACCCCCCCCGCCCACCAGCCACGCCCCCCTCCGCCCCCACCTTTTAATTGCGGCGCGGCACCCCCATCCCGCGCCCCCCCCGCCCCCCCCCCCCCCCCCACCCCCCACCCACCAGCAGACTGCCCCTTTTCCGCCCGACCCTTTCATTTCGGCGCGCCCCTCCCCCACCCACCCACCCACACCACCACCCCCGACTCACCCGCCAGCGCGCCCCCTCCGCCCCGACCTATATCTCGGCACCGCACCCCCCCCCCCAATCCCACGCGCCCCTCTGGGCCCCACCCACCCACCAGCCAGCGCGCCACCGTGCCCCGACCCCCCTCATGTCGGCACGGCACCTCCCCCCCCTCACGCGCGCCCCCCCCCCGCCCACCAGCTGGCGCGCCCACCACCACCCCACGCGCCCCCCCCCCCCCCCCCCCCCGCGCCCCCCACCCACCACCCGCGCCCCCCACCCACCAGCCAGCGAGCCCCCACCCACCGACCCTTTTTCCTGCGCGCCCCCACCAATCCCGCGCGCGCCACCCCGGCCCCCCCGCCCACCACCAGCGCGCCCCTCCGCCCCGACCCTTTCATGCTCTCGCGCAGAGTGTCTAGAGCTCCGACCCTCTCATTTCGGCACGGCACCGCCCCCCCATCCCGCGCCCCACCCCCGCATCTCCCCGACCACCAGTCAGCGCGCTCTCTCCGGCGCCCCGGCCCTTTTATTTCGGCGCGGCGCCGCCCCCCACATCCCGCGCGCCCCCGCCCGCATCGCCCCGCCCGCCAGCAAGCGCGCCCCCTGCGCCCCGACGCCATCTCTCCTGCACGGCGCCGCCCCCCCACCACCCTGCGCGCCCCCTCTGCGTCCCCCCGCCCACCAGCCAGGGCGCCCCCTTTGCCCCGGCCAATGTATTCTGGCGCGGCGACGCCCCCCCGCGCCCCGCGCCCACTGCGCACCCCCCGCCCACCGGCCAGCGCGCCACCTCCGCCCCGACTCCTCTATTCTGGCGCGGCGCCACCCCGCCGCGACCCCTTACTATAAGCCCTCCGCATCCTCTCGCCCACCGGCCAGCGCGCCCCCTCCGCCCGCGCCGCCACCGCGCCCCCCCCACCTGCCAGCCAGCGCGCCCCCCCCGGCCCGACCTTTGATTCGGCGCGGCGCCGCCCCCTCCGCCCTGACACCTTCATTTCGGCACGACACCGCCCCCCCATTCCGGGCGCCCCCTCCACCCCCCCCACCCACCAACCAGAGCGCCCCCTCCGCCCCGACCTCTTTATTTCCGCACGGCACCGCCCCCCCGAGCGGCCCCTCCATCGCCCCATCCACCAGCCAGCGCGCCCCCGCCGCGCCCCCACCCTTCCTTTCTTTGCAAGAGCCACGGCACGCGCGCCCCGTGTCCATCGAGGACTCTGAGAAACACGCTCCGCACCCCGCTTTTCACCAGGGGAAAAAAGACGGCCACCAGACCTCGCTATTTAGCGCAGACCCCACATGGGCCGCCCACTCCCCTCGAGCGGGCACGCGCGAAACGCATTTTATCCACGCCGAATCGGACTTCACCTAGTCGAGCGGAAATCTGCTTGCTCATTTGAAGTCGCCCCCAAGGGTAAACGGAAACCTGGGCCCCCGCCCTGTCCGGGGCAAATCCACGCGCGCCCTGGACGTTCGGAACGTCTTCGCCGCCGAGCTTCGCCCAAACTGTTTCCGAAATTCAAAATTTCAGCGACGTTGGATTCAGACGATGCAGAAGCATTGGCCTGGAACTTGCTGCGACCTTCGATTAGGGGGCCGCTTGCGCCCCCTCAACCAGTCACAAGACGCGCTTGAACCCGATGGCCAAAAACTGCACCACCTGCACGCCTCGAGCGCGGTCTCGGCAGGGACCCCCGAACATTCACGGCACCACCAGATCTGCACATTCCCAACAGCGACACGAAGAAGGGCAGTTCTCTTCAAAGTTCAGCTCACGCCCTAAACTTCCCGACGCGCCACAAAGCCGGATGGCGACTCTGTTCCGGACTTGTTCTCTTGCCTGATTGGGCTCATCACAGCTGATTACCCAGAAGCGTCACACTTCCAACCACTACCAGGGTGGAGGGCGGTTCCTTTCCGAAATGGCACTCTCGATTCGGCGCGTCAAATTTCATCGCAAAGCCCCCATCAACTGCAGCCCCGCCTCACAGCCCCCCAGGCTTGCCGAGGTAGAGATCACATGAGGGATGAGGAAGCGGCGGAAAAAAGGAAGAGGCACCTTGAATTGCACCCCGCACCTCCGCGCCGCGGTTCGAAGCGCTGGAACTACCCATGCCGTCAGCGTCACACAGCCGCGAATACTCCCACCCCTGGGAGACAAGCTGGCTGGCCTCCAGGTGCCACAGGGCTGGCCGATATTCACTGAGCTACACAGCTGCGGCAGAGGGGGGGCCAGGTTCGGCGACTACAATGGGTGCGGTTTGCAAAGAGTGCGGTTTGCCTCACGTCATATCTGCCCCTCCCGACCCCGGGAAACGGATGACACTGTCAGTCAATGCGACCGAATCACATGACACTGTCGCTCCTTCTAATACAGTGGAGCACACATCGAGAATGACAGTGTCGCTCGAAACGACGACAATTATGACATTGTCTCTCACAAAGGCCGCGGAAAGGCCGCCACAAAGCAACTCGCAAACCGCACCCTTGCGTAACCGCACCAATTCTAGTCGCCGACAGGTGGCCCGCGACCCCTAGCCCGAAAGGGGGGGCACGCCGAATGCCACCGACGGCAAACATGCTGAACGCGCGAGCGCGCAATCAGATACCGCAACATCGCACGGCGGGACACGCTAGCTGTTCGGGGCAACCCCGGGGCGCAGCCCCGCCACGGAGTTCGCCAGGCCGGCCGAGGCAGGGGGAGGGGGAGAAGGAGAGGCGAACCCGAACCTGGAATGCATAATGTGGGCGCGTGGGCGCGGAGCCCCCTGCCCCCCTCACGCGGCGCTCGGCCTCGCCCGCCGTTTCTCCGCTCACCGCTCGGCGCTGCCCCCCAGCACCCACCGGTATATCCACCCGGCGCGGCGCTTCGCGTGCCGCCCTTGGTGCCTTGCTTGGTTTTCAGGCCGGCCCCATCTGGCGAGCATGCTCCACCGGCGTTGTCCGTCGGCGAGCTTCGCCTCTGCTGCTCGTCTGTCTTCTCGCGCCCCCTTGGCCCCCTCGCCTCGGGGGGCCCAGCGGGCCGCCCCCCCCCCAGGTCGCCTCGCAGGTCATCCAGACCTCGGCACCTTGGCTGGCCCACGCCTATCTCGGCACCACGGTAGCCTCGTCGTGCTGCTTCCGCCTCCAGCTTGCGCTGGACCTGCTTCCCCCCTGGGCGCGCGCCTGGCAGCCTCCTGGCTGCCCACCTCCCCAACATGCTGCCCCGCCGCCGCCGCTGGCCCCCAGCCCCGGGGCCCGCCCCGCCGCCGCCTAGCCCTGCTCTGAGCGGGCCTGGTTTCCATCTCCTTCCCGCCCGCGCCAGGCCCCCTCTCTCCCCCCGCGCACCGCGGCTTAATTCACGTTTTGTGTGCCCCGCTATATGCCACATCGCCGACGCACAAAGCGCGCGGAGCTTGGCGCGCTGCGCGCCCCGAACACGCGCCACATGGACTTCACCGAGGTGAGCTCGGCGAGCCTGCACTGCGCTGACGTCCAAGAGAGGCGCAACGTGCCCGTGCGCTCGGCACCGCAGCGAGCGCGACCAGGCGTCCGCCGTGCGTCGCCGCTGATGGCGCAGCAGCGGCTCGGCCGCGCACGCACGACGAGCTGCCGACGGCTGTGCGGATGGCGCCGAGCATGGAGCCCTGGAACCGCGCCGAGCCTCTCTGCCTGGGAAGAGACCCAGGTTCCATGCCGCTCTCTGACTACCTACCTAACCACCCCAACCCAACCCGAAGACCCGAATTTGACCCGAATTTCGGGTTGGGGGGGGTACGGGTTCCATGTGTTTTTTCGACGTTCCCCGACCCCCCCACACTGGAAATCGAGGATAAATTGAGGCCTTCGGGTTGGGTTGGGGTGGTTTGGTGGGTGGTGACTCTCGGCGCCATCTCCTCGGGGCGGACCGCGTGCGGGTGGCGCGGCAGGCTCGCAGCGTGTGGCGCCCGCCACCTCCCCCTCTCCCTCCTGGGGTCGTCGACGAGATGTGTGTTGGAGAGCGAGCTGCGCGAGGAGCTGCGTCGGCCCGTCGAGGACCTCGAGAACTTCGACCAGATCGATCTCGCACAGAGGCTGGAAAAGTGCGAGCTGGTCGATATGCGCCGGATGGCGGCACTCGCCTGCAAGAAGAGCAAGCGGCTCGAGCAGCCGATCGAGCTGCTCAAGCCCAGAGGCATGTCCAGCGACGTGATGGGGGCGGCCAGCGACAGTGGCAGCGAGGATGCGGCGGAGGTGCAACTGCATGGTTTCGGGGGCTCGAAGCAAGATGTGATTCGTGGCGTGCCCCTGCACATGCCACGTTCTCGCACGCCCGGATGGGTGGTGGAGCCCCGGTGGCGCAGAGCATTGGTGAACTTTTGCATGAGAGCTGAGCGTTCGGCATTGAGACTCTTCGTCGAGGGCGAAGAACTTGAAAAGGAGGAAGAAGAGGAGAAGCGAGCAGAACAGAGGAGAGGAAAAGAGAGGGGAGGAGGAGGAAGAGGAGGAGGAGGAGGAGGAAGAGGATCGGAGGAGGAGGAGGAAGAGAAGAGAAGAGAAGAGAAGGAGAAGGAGGGTTTCTCCTCCTTTTCCTCCTCCTGCCTCCTCCTCCTCCTCCTCCTCCTCCTCCTCCTCCTCCTCCTCCTCCTCCTCCTCCTCCTCCTCCTCCTCCTCCTCCTCCTCCTCCGTCTCCTGCCTCCTGTTCCTCCTCGGACACGAGCGAAACGAGCGGGTCAGACACGCACGCACGTTATCCCGGGAAGTATGAAGGTGGCCACCTGAGCTTCGTCAGGCTTAGACGCGAAGCTGTGCTCACGCGCGGGCATACACTCCTCCTCCCCTTATCCTCCATCCGTGGTCTCCGTGGCCAGCCGCGCGCCCGGGGCCGCGGTATTAGTGGGCTCGGCCTCGACCGCGGCCTCCTTGGACCGCTGGGCGCCGAGGGTGGCAGCCTGCTCCTGCACGCACAGGGCAGCTGCACACCACCACCATGCCTGGTCAAGGCCATACTGAGCGATGGCATCTTGTATGCGCCCTACCGGCCGAGGCCAGGGGGGTCTGTACACCGTCCTGGGGACCAGGACGGCCCTGGCCGGGCATGGCGGTGCTGTATGCATGCCTTCTGCGGTTCCTCGGACTCCTCGCCGTTGGCTTCCATCTCCAAGAGGTTCCACCTCCCGAGGGACCTGAGGTGGCTCCAGAACTTCAGAGGACCCCAGGTATTCAACGCCTTGAAAAGACATTAGTGGGAATGTTTCGAAACCTCCGGCGTCTCGAAACAACTGTCGGACGTCACAGTTGTCAAACATGATCGACCCACAAACCCGGAAAGGAATATTGAAATGTAAGGCATGGCAACGTTTTCGAGGACACCTGATTGGGCGACGGGCAAATGCAATGCTCAGTGTATCGATCTTGATGCACCGTGCCAAGGGCTGTGCTGCGATGCGCCGTGATGAACTGCGATGTGCCATGCCGCGATTGTGCTCTATAGCGTTGTGGATCGACTTCTACTTTGCATCCGAATCCTGACCGAACTGATATGGATCTTAAGCTCGAGCTGCCTGAGCACATAGCAGCTGCCCCAGAGCTAAGTAACAGGGGGGGATGCCAGGGGGGCGCGCCGCCGAACGTCCCAAGGGGCACGCCAGGGGTCGTGCCAGGGGACGTGTCATGGGGACGCACCGCGGGACGCGCCCAAGGGACGCGCTTCGGAACGTGCCAATGGACGTGCCAGAGTACGCGCCAGGGGACGCGCCGCGCGACGTGCCAGGGGGACTCGCCATGGGACGCGCCGAGGAACGTACCAGGGGACGTGCCAGGTTGCAAACCTGAGTGTATCGATCTTGGTGTACCGTGCCAAGGGTTGTACTGTGCTGCGCCGTGCTGACTTGCGTTGTGCCATGCCGCGATTGTGCTCTATAGCGTTGTGGATCGAGTCCTCCTTTGCATCCGAGTCCTGACCGAACTGATCTGGATCTTGAGCTCGAGCTGCCTGAGCAAACAGTAGCTGCCCCGGAGCTCATTGACAGGGGGACATGCCAGAGGGACTTCTTTGTTTTGACAAGCGCCCTGAACCCGAGCCAGCTCGGATTGAGTAAAGAAAAAGAACTCGGACAAGCTTACCCGCCAGGTGCAGGTCAGTCCGAGCTGTCTGAAAGGGGTGGCTGGTCTGGGGCGTGCTCACCCTCCTCCCGAAGCGGTCTGCGGGCCTGATCAGACCCGACAGGCTCGGCCCGATCGCCAGCCTCAGAATCACTCGCTTCGGCAGCAGGGTCGAACACTTCACAAGTCACGCCAGCCAGCCTGGGATGCCTCCCCCTCCGCAGCGCCCTCAAGACCGAGGACGCGTACTTTGACTTCCTGGGCCCCTCGGGCTCTGGGATGCAAGACTTACTAAGCTTCTTGAATCTTCCACCGCAGCTGTACCCGCAGCAGAGATGACAAAAGTATAACATGCTTTGATTCGAGCACAAAAGGGCCGTGATGGCGTGGCCCTTTATCCCGTATGGAAAGGGCCACGTCAGGGAGCTGGCCCGAGCACCCTGAAAGATCGGGCTTCACAGACAGGCGGCGGCCACGGAGACAGATACTGCAGCGCCAGAAGGTGGCACACCACACCCAATCATGATGATACTGCTCCACAGGGGGGGGCGGCGGCTCCACCACGCGGGCAGGGGCGATAAAATCAACTCCGTCGAGGTTGAGTCTTGGCCACGACGGGAGGAGACGGGCTGCCAGCAGGCCGACATTCTTGGCAACCTTGAGTTGCCAGTCAACAAAATCCATTTCAGCCTGAGATCCTATGGCGTGCATGTCTACTCCTCGCTTGGCCGCTCTGTCGGCCTCGTTGTTACCAATTTTGAAATACCGCTGATCGGCCGTCAAATCTGGGGAATCCGCAACGTGGGCCTTCACCTTGTGAAGGCTGGTCAATTTAGACTGAAGGGTATTAATCATCAGCCCTGCATACGGCCGCTTGTAGGAGAGACGCTTGGGTCTCTCCAGAAGAAAAGCTTTACAAACATTAAGGCAATCGCTGAAACCTTCTGAGGGCCCAAGGAGGCACAGAGACCCGTAGGCCAGGCTCCCGAACTCCGCCGCTTGGGAGGTCTGGGGGAACCTGTCCCACAGGGGGGCCCACATGACACACTGCAAATTCCTATGATTACCATATACAGCTAACCCCCATCCTGCCCTGCTTAGCTCCTTAATTGCGTGCTTCCTACATGATCCGTCGAAGAACACATCCCCACCGCGGAACGTCCCAAGGGACGCGCCAGGGGTCGCGCCAGGGGACGTGTCATGGGGACGCACCGCGGGACGCGCCCAAGGGACGCGCTTCGGAACGTGCCAGTGGACGTGCAACGGGACGCGCCAGGGGACGCGCCGCGCGACGTGCCAGGGGGGCTCGTCACGGGACGCGCCACGGAACATGCCAGGGAACGTGCCAGGCGACGCGCCAGGGAACGTGCCAGGGAACGCGTCAAGAAACGTACCACGGGACGTCCATGACCCAGGGCCAGGATCCCTCGTAAATTACGATGGTCCGCGCTCCCAGGGCCACGATCCATCGAAAAATACGCTGGGTCCGCGCTCCCTGGGCCACGATCCCTCGTAAATTACGCTGCGTCCGCTCTCCCTGCGCCAATATCCCATGTAAACTACGCTGCGTCCGCGCTCCCAGGGACGCGCTCCCTGGTATCCTCCTCCTCCACCACCACCT